CCATTATCTGTCTGACCCCCCTATAGGGATCTAACTTGACAACCGAGATCTACACCAACTTTGTATTTTACCAAGGAACAAACTGAAACTCAGAGAGGACTCCTTCACATTTTGAGGTCACCCAGCTGGTGACAGGTAAAGCCACACTGCTCTGTAGATGAAAGGCACATTTCAGCCACATTAAGTCTGTTCCCTGCCAGCATCATCGTCATCGCCGTTTCATTACACCGTCATCCATTTTGTGATGACTTAGATGTGTTATGCTATTATCTTCCATAGTAGCCAATGTCTAGAGGTGGGTTTTCTGCTCCTGCAGAAAAGAAAGTGCTAAGAATGTAGGTTTACTAATGAGGTTTCAAGTAATTCCCTTGAGTAGATGTCAGTGGATTTGTGGGAAGCCCAGTGAGGGGGGAATTCTTTCTGGAATTCAGCTTGACTAACAAGGCAGGACCATCTTCAGCTTCCAAACCCTGAAGTCTCCTTATCACAGTAGACTTTTCTTGAGCAGCTGACCGGCACTGTCCTGGGACCTGGACGGGAGGCACAAAGTCTGAAGCCAAGGTGTGTTGTAGTGAGAACCAAGGCTATCTGCGAGGAGACAGGTGACTCCGGTCTGAAGACAGAGTAATGAGGTCTGTTGTAGAAATGCAGACAGTTCTAGAACTCTAAGCAGACTGGCTTAGTGGAAGAGGAGGCATTTTTGTGCCACAGCCCTGGCTCCCTGCCCTGTCTCGAGCCTGAGAACCTCCCCACACATCATGGTTGTGACGAAGTTGAAATCTTTCAGGCATGTATTAGGAGTTTTTCAAACGCAAATGAGGAATCTCATCTCAAAAATGCCTTTACATACATTACACGTAAGTCTGGGAGAGGGTCAGGCACAGTGAGATCCAGAATCGGAAGTGAACCCATCAAGCCCTTGGCACTGTGTCTTTCTGTCTCCTATTTCCAGTTTGCTCCATTGTCAGACAACCTATATATTCATGGTGATGAGATGGCTACCAGCAGCCCTAGGCTCACATCCTCCGTGCCAGAAATCTCATAGAAAAGCCCCTCCTTCTCAGTAACTCCAGCAACAATCCAAGACCTAGTCTCAGACCCAGCTTGCATTGATGGCCCATCCCTGAACTGACTTATGGAGGCCAGACAGTTGAGATGCTCTGATCCATCCTGGGTCATGTTCCCACCCCTGGTGCTACAGGGAGGATACAAACCCAAGTAAACTGAGAGTTAAGGATGAGTCCAAAGTCAAGCAAAATGTGGTTCCCAGGGAAATCATAAATGGATGCCGAGCAGGCAAAAACAAGGCATGGAGCACCGACATCTGCTGCAGCATGGATGAACCTGGAAAACATTATGCCAAGCAAAAGATGCAGACACAAAAGGCCATATATTGTATGACTGCCTTTAATATGAACTATCTAGAATTGGTAAATCCATAGAGGCAGGAGACAGACTGATGGTTACCAGGGGCTAGCCTGAATTGGTAGTGGCTGCATAATGTGTATGGGGTTTTATTTTGGGGGCTGATGAAATGTTTTGAAGCTAGGCAGGGGTGACAGTTGGGTAACATTGTTAATGAACTAATTCAACTCAACTGTACACCTTAAAATGCTTAATTTTAAATCACTGCTGTCATAACAGGGTGATGTTATGACACCTGGTCCCCCTCCAGTCTGCATGGAGCCTGCATGGAGTAGGCACTTGGTGCTGCCTGTAGCAATCCACACAGTGCCTTTGTGGAAAATAGAAAAGGCAGCTCTTCCTCAAGACACTTAGATCCCATTGATTATAAAATCATTTCTTGGTCTCTCGTTGTTTTACATTGTGTGGATGTCAGCTTTATTAAAAACATATGACCTTCCCAGTCTGTCATCTGCCCAGAGCAATCTCCCAATGAAGCCAAACTGGCCTGCTCCTCAGGCCGCTGATTAGTCTGTTTTCTGTCTAGAATGTCCATTTTCTCTCCTCCCTGCAGGCCTCCCAGCCTGCCTCAGGCCCTGCCTCATCCGTGACACCATTCCTGACCACCAACCAAGTCCACAGCATGCTGGCTTTTCAGCCTTGCTCTAGTCCCCATTTTTCCAGAAGTTCCTCAAAACTCATTTAACCTATGGTTACATGTGCCTGTATCACATTTGCGCAGTCAGACTGTGAATTCCTACAAGATAAAGCCTGTTGTTTATAGTGTTTCCTGTCTTCCACTGTACCCACCACAAGGCTGGGAGTGTGGTAGGTGCTGAACATGCGTTTGCTTATTGATGGATTGAGTATCCATTCTGCGAATACTCACTAAGCATTTACTGTGTGCCAGGCACATAGTGATAAGCAAAAACAAGAACCACCCTAGCTGCCTGAAACTTACAGTCTACTGGAAAGGGTAGACAGTAATCACAGAAATGTGCTATGGCAAGTTGCTAAGTTCATACACATGTAAAACAGGGTTAATAAAAGTACTGTCTCTGGGGTTTTCATGAAAGTTAAAGTAGATAATCCACATAAAGCCCTTGGAATGATAATGCTCATATGTTTTCATTGCCATGGTGATGGTGGTAGTGATAATGGGGATGAAGATGGTGGTGATACTGAAATCGGTGATGATGGTTGTGATGGTGGTGATGATGACGATGATGGTGATGACAGTGGTGATAATGAAAATGGTGATGATGGTAGTAATGACGATGGTGGTAGTGACAGTGATGATAATGAAAATGGTGATGATGGTAATGGCAATGATGGTGGAAGAAATCACAGTGTTGTAAGACTGTAAGGACTGCGAGAGTAACTTTTGGTCTGCAATCTGATCGATGAATTGAAGTTCACTCGGGGGAGAGGAAGAGGACGATCATTCCCAGCACATACAGAATCCATGACCAGAAGGCACGTGTGTAAGGAAGCTGTGGTGGTGTGGAGAAGCATTCGTACGATAGAGTTATGTCCTGGTCATGTGTAAGGGCCAGCAGGCTCAAGGAGCAGAAAGATCCCTGAGTTCAACTCTAGACTGTAAGCTCCCATCTAAATAGCTCCTTGGGAGCAGAGATCATCCTTACTTCTCGTTGACCCCCACCATGAGCCAGCACAGTACCTGGCACATAATATGTGAAAATGGTGATAGTGGTGGTGATGATGAAGATGGAGATGATGACGATGGTGGCAGTAACAGTGATGATAATGAAAATGGTGATGATGGTAATGGCAATGATGATTACGAGTGCAATGAATGCTAACTGCTAATGGACAGAGCATTTGGGCCAAAAGGCTTGGTTCTAGCTCTGTCCACCCTTCCGACACGCCCATGTCACCAGCTGTGGGACCTGAACAGCTTTGGTTTCTGCATCTACAAAATAGAAAATGCCAACCCTGCCCAGTCTGCCTTGCAAAATTCCAAACAAGATGATTATACGTATATAGTTCCTAAAGTAGGAGTTATTAATCTAGGGTTGATGGGAAAAATTCAGGGGAGGTTTGTGACTTTGGATGAGAAGAAAATGGTATCTTTTTTAGTGAAATTTCAACTGAAATCTAGCTAAATGTAGGTAACAAATCACAGTAGTGTTAGCAGTAACTGACTCAGTCACCAGTAGGAATCACCTATTTTCCTATCACATTATAGTTGGTGCAGATACCTCTAAATATCATTTATGCTCACCACTACTTCAGAATTACAGGAGGTAGGCCGGGCGTGGTGGCTCACACCTGTAATCCCAGCACTTTGGGAGGCCAAGGTGGGCGGATCATCTGAGGTCAGGAGTTCAAGACCAGCCTGGCCAACATGGTGAAACCCCATCTCTACTAAAAAGACAAAAAAAAAAATTAGCTGGGTGAGGTGGCACATGCCTGTAATCCTAGCTACTTGGAAGGCTGAGGCAGGAGAATCACTTGAACCCAGGAAGTGGAGGTTGCAGTGAGCCAAGATCACGCCACTGCACTCCAACCTGAGCTACAGAGTGAGACTCTGTCTCAAAACAAAAACAAAACCAGTGTGTGTGTGTGTGTGTGTGTGTGTGTATATATATATATATATAAATAAAATCATACATTCAGTGTTTTAAAATGTATTTTGTAATCCAGGCCCCATGCAGTAGCTCACACCTATAATCCCAGCGCTTTGAGAGGCCAAGGCAGGAGGATCGCTTGAGGCCAGGAGTTTTATGCCAGTCTAAGCAACATCGTGAGACCCCGTCTCTACAAAAAATTTAAGCAGCAGCCAGACATGGTGGTGCACACCTGTAATCCCAGTGCTTTGGGGACCTGAAGCCAGAAGTTCGAGATCAATCTAGACAACATAGTGAGATCCCATCTCTACAAACATAACTTTCAAAATCAGTTCTATCTACTCAGGAGCCTGAGGCAGGAGGGTCACGTGAGCCCAGGAGTTTGAGGCTGCGGGGAGCTAGGATCACACCAGTGCTCTCCAGCCTAGGCATAACGGAACATGACCCTGTCTCAGAAAATAAAAATTTAAAAAATGTTGTAATCCTGTATATAATGTATGAGTCAAGAAGCACAGGCATTACTATATATCAGAACTTTGGTGGGTTTTTATTATTCACTGTTTCATAACTCTGTATATTTTATTGTATGCATCGAAGAGCACTGTTCTGAGATAAGGATCCATAGTCTGCATTCACTAAACTGCCAAGGCCTCTATGGCATAAGGAGATTATTGCCAAAGTTCTCTAGAGAAGGAGTAGCTGTAGCAGATCATCATTGTCATCTGACTGTGCTGGGTAAATCCCCTGGGCTCTCTAAGCCTCAGTGCCCTCATATGGAAATTGGGGGTCAAATAGTACCTGCCTTATAGGGAGAAATACAGTGACATGCCTCACTTGTGGGGATCAAGTGATAAACTCCACGCAGAGCCCTGGCTCAGTGCCTGGCACACAGCAGGCACTCAATAAATGCTGTCATCGCTATGATTGTGTTGTTTTGTTTGGACTCTGGCTGGAGTTCTGTCTTTCAGGACACCTCGGGGCTAAGGGCAGCTTTCTCTCTCCCAGGTTCATTCGGAAGCAGGGCCTGGATCGGCTCTTCCTGGAGTGCGATGCTCACATGTGGCGCCTGGGAGATCGGCGAATCCCAGAGGGCATCGCCGTAGATGGTGGCTCGGACTGGTTCCTGCTGAACCGGAAGTTTGTAGAGTATGTGACGTTCTCCACAGACGATCTGGTGACCAAGATGAAACAGTTCTACTCCTACACCCTGCTTCCTGCCGAGGTGAGTATCTGGGAAAAAATTCCCAAGAAAGGTAGGGGCTTGTTCTAGCCTTTGTGGCAAAGCAGATGCTGAATTTTTGGCAAAGAGATTCTGGGTGCACCTACATTGTCCTCTACACATCCAGACATCCTTGCTGTCTTAGCAGGGTCCCTGATCTCCCTCCAGTCTGCACAGAGGCTGCGTGGAGTAGACACACGGTGCCACCACCAGCAGTCCACACAGTCTTTGTGCAAAATAGAAAAGGCAGCTCTTCGTCAAGATACTTGGCTTTCATTGGTCATAAAAATCACACGATATACAGATTTTGTTAGAACAAGAATCTTACTGCTATTTTCCAGAAAACTGTTATTTAAAAAACCCTTCTGATATCTACAATGCTGACGGCACCCCTAAAAGGTATGTAGCACGTAACCTGTACAACTGTATATGCTGACCCTTTCAGGACATACCCACATCGACTTTTCTTTTTTTTGTTTGAGACAGAGTCTCCCTCTGTCACCCAGGCTGGAGTGCAGTGGCTCAATCTCTGCTCACTGCAACCTCCACCTCCCAGGTTCAAGCAGTTCTGCTGCCTCAGCCTCCTGAGTAGCTGGGATTACAGGTGCGCACCACCACACCCAGCTAATGTTTGTATTTTTAGTAGAGACAGGGTTTTGCCATGTGGGCCAGGCTGGTCTTGAACTCCTGGCCTCAAGTGATCCTCCTGCCTCAGCCTCCCAAAGTGCTGAGATTGCAGGCATGAGCCAAGATGCCTGGCCCCGACATCAACTTTTGACACATCCTTCACAGTGACTGATCATGCGATGACCACCTTTTTACACCAAGCATCCCTTTTCTCATGTTGAATATTGCCCTGTCATTCCCTGAAGAAAAGGGTGTTGGTTTCATGAGTCATACTCCATTAATCCAGAGTATTCTAAAACAGCCCCAGCCCCATGTAGAAGTGGGGAGGGGATCCAGTTCTGAAGGATTGCCACTGACATTCCCATAGCTGCCTGCTGGTCAGAGCTGGGCTGAGGGATTCCAGATTCATCTTCCTGACCTCCAGGTTGATTGCATCCTCATTTCCAATCCAGCCTGAGAAAAGTGCAGAGCTGGTTCCATTTCTGTTGCATCTGTGGCATTTCTCATGAATGGTCCCTTGTTCCTTCCTTGGACCACGTAGGCTATGTGTGTTTCTGCAGGCCAGACACCCAGCACATCTCTTACCTGTGTCTGGGGCAGTGCCAAGCTCCGGGGAGGGCTGACTGCATCCCTGTCACCCAGAGAGATGATGAGCTTGTCATCACTGGGCCAGGTTTTACTATTCTGTACACATGTTAAGTAATCAGCTTTTAATCCTATTTCAGCAAAAATCACCTCTTCTCTCAATTCTGATAACCTCCTCGTCCAGTATCTTGCAGGGAATTTCTGTATCATTATGAAAGAACACAGGGCAATTGGTAATTGGGTACTTTTTCCCCACTGCTTGATGGAGAATATATGCCTCTCTGGGCTTGAAGGCAATTCAAGCTTAAAATCCAAGTTCATGGGCATGTCATTTACTGTCACAGGAAGGTCAGCGGGGGTTGGTGGGTGGAGCCTCATTTACCCACCCATCCATTTAGAAAAGATTGTTTGGAAGTTTGGCTGTTTTTAATCAAGACATCACCTCAATCCTGGTGAGCAAAGCTCCGTGTGTGCTTCCTCTGCCCCTGTCTGGCCCCAGCACACACAAGCACATGTACTCCAGGGTCTCTGTTCAGTCCCACCTCCTGCATCTCTGCCTTCCCTCCCTTCTCCCAGACCACTTCAAGAGAACTGGTTTAGAAGATATCAGAAGACTGTACTCATAAACTTATAAGAGGCAGACACAGATTCCCCAACAGCTTCCCTTAGGGAGAGAGAACAGGGAGGAAGTATATTTGCCTGGGACTGTCATAAAACAGTGTTGAAATATTATAAGAAATATTATAAAAATCTTTCTCTCACTCTCTGGCAATCTCTCAAGTACTCCAGTGATTGTTTCTCCTCTAGTTTTTCTTTTTAGATGCAACATGGCCTCTTAGATCCCTTAAAAAGGTTGGCCAAGAGTCTTGGGGTTAGGGAGACTATAGGGCACCTGGTTCAGTACCATGGACAGCAAGCAGCCCCACCTACTCCCTTCCCTATGTTGCAGTCCTGCAATGCAGGAAGCCCTGGGTCTATTGCAACCATCAATTTGGTCTCCCTACCCCAGGGGTGAAATTCCAGATCACCAGTCTTTGTTATCAAACTATTTCAGACTTGAATCCCTTTGATTTCACATAATCTGTTGGACAGAGCATCCACCTGCACTCTGAGTTGGACCACATGGGCAGCTGACCTCAAATGCATGCAGAGAACGTAAGAGTCCCTTGAATGTCAGGTACTTGTGTTACGCATTTTTGCATCGCTATGAAGGAATATCTGAGGCTTGGTAATTTATAAAGAAACGTTTATTTGGCTTGTGGTTCTGCAAGCTGTACAGAAAGCGGCCCAGCTTCTTTAAAACCACCAGTTCTTACGTGAACTCAGAGCAAGAGTTAACCCTTTCCCACCCCAGTCCCTTTGTGGGAGGCTGGGAGAGATCTCAGGCTAGGCCCCTCTCTCCCCTGCAGTCCTTCTTCCATACGGTCCTGGAGAACAGCCCCCACTGCGACACCATGGTGGACAACAACCTGCGCATCACCAACTGGAATCGCAAGCTGGGCTGCAAGTGCCAGTACAAGCACATCGTGGACTGGTGCGGCTGCTCCCCCAATGACTTCAAGCCACAGGACTTCCACCGCTTCCAGGTGAGACTTTCTCCTGGCCTGCCAGCCTCCTAAGTGATGCCTTTCCAACAAACCTCTGCAGAAATCCAAGGCCAGACCTGCAGGTCACCTTATCACATGGTGGCCAAACCTGGCTGTTGATAAATAATAGCAACAGCATCAACAATAGCCAATGTTTATTGAACACGTACTCCAGGTCAGGGCTGTTCTAACCACGTTGACTCATTAACCCAAAAGCAAATGACCTTTCATACTATTATTCCGTTTTAGGGATATGAAAACTGAGGCACAGAAAGGTTAAAAAAAAATGTCCAAAGGCCATACTCCTATCATCCTCTCTTTATTGCCTTTTCATCAGAATCTCCCAGAATATTTAAATTTATACCCAGGAATAAGCTTTTAAGTATATCTAGGGCAGAGCTTTTCAACCTCAGAACTCTGGCCATTGTGGCCGGATGATCCTGTTAGGAGGTGCTGTCCCATGCCTGGGTGGGATGTTTAGCAGCACCTCTGGTTGAGAACCACTGATCTCCAGTGATATCGACGACTTTGTATTTTCAATGAATTGTACTTTTCTGAGGAGCAGCCAGGTTTGGAAACCATTGTATTCTGTGTACTTGAAAGAGTAACAAGAGGTAGAACATTATTCCCTTTACAGCTGTCTCTGGGCAGCCTAACAATTTACTGTTCCAGGGAAGGGAAGGGCAGAGCAGGTGGCTGGGGAATGGTCATCCACTTACCATGAGCCCTGAGAGTGGCCCCAAAATGGGCACCCCTTCCTGCTCTGCTTCCTCCAAGCCAGGATGGTGGCTTCTTCCTCCACCCCTCCCCACACCTAGCAGCAGAGAGCACAAATATGAATGAATGCCCCTAAATGGTTAAACGAATCACTGAGGTCACTAGAGCCACCGTGTAGAGATGGTATGCTGCTTCCCAAACCACTGACACAGGGAAGGCAGGGACACAGTTCCAAGCTCATAGCCGAGGTGCCCCTGATGTGTGACTGGGATGCTGTTCGTGTTTGATCTTCTCTGTGCCAGGCTGTGTGGGCATTGGCTTTACTAGGGCAGACGTCACTTTTATTGTTCAGGTAGGGAAACTGAGGCATGGAGGGGTGTTCCAAGTGGGGTTTTTTGCAGTAGTCCCTGCTGCCTTCCTGGTTTTGTGCCTGTATGAGTGCGGAGTACACTGCAGGTTTTTTCTGTCATTCGTATTCCCCTCAAGGTTCCCACCAGCAGCTCCAGCCACCTTAAGCTGGCAGACAGGGAGCTGCTTAAACCCACATCTTCCCTGCAGACAGGATCTGCTGAGCAGAAAGAGGGTTGCAGGGGAATATTTGACCTATTCAGTGAATTCCCACCTTTGGAGAGGACCCGTCCCTCACTGTCCTTATCACAGAGCATCTTCACTTAGAGCACAGAACCTCCGTGTGGTGATTCTCGGAGCCCCACACTCCCCCAGGCACCAGCATCATTTGTATCCTAGCCCGGCATCCCGGGGACGTTGTAACCTCTCATGAAGACTGCCTCATGTGCTCACAGCAAGCAAAGATTAAGAGTATCCCCCAAGAGCTAGAGTCAAGCCACTGCTGCCTGTAAGGAACGCAGAGTTCTTGTGCAGAGAACTTGGAGAGAAAGAATAATAAATATAGCAACCTGCCCTTTTAGAAGATCCAGCTATGGTCAGAATCACAGGCAGAGAAAGGAGTTTATCCTGCCCTTGAGGCCAGTCCTCTGCCCCTACATGAGTTCCTGGTAACAAGGGGCTAGTGATGATAATCAAATAGCAGCCTACGCCGTGTGCTAGACACTATCCTAGTAACCTATTTTAAGGATGCTGAGGCCTGGAGAGTTTGAGTGACTTCACCTGCACAGCTAGACAGTAGCCAAATGAGGATTTGAACTCAGGTGGTCTAACTCTCCACCGTGCTACTGTGAAAGGAACCCACCAGAGAGGTTTCCTGAAGCAGACTGGCAATGATGCCAAGGGTACTTACGATCGGGGGCTCCAAGTTTATGAAGTTGCCTCAATCCTGGAGTGATGCAGTAGAGAAAGCTTAGATGTTGGAGTCATGCATTTGGGGTGTGAGTCTGTACTTACCGCTTTGCCTCTCTGAGCTCAGTTTTCTCATCTGTAAAATGGGAATCTTAATACCTGCCTTGCCAAATTATGTGGAAAATTAGAGGCAATGATATAAGTGCACTGCCCTGAATATTGTGTGTGGTCAGTAGTTATTGCTGCTATTAATCTACCACCATGAAAACACTGCTGGACCCACATTTAGGTCAATAACAAACACTATAGACTGTAATAAGCTCCTCCAGGGAGAGGCCTGTGTTTTATTTGTTTCTGCAGCCCTGCACAAGGGGTCAGCAAACTCTAGCCCTGGGGGCCAAAGTCAGCCCACTGCCTGCTTCTGTAAATGAAGTGTTATTGGAACACAGCCATACCCATTTATTTAGTTTCTTGTCTGTGGCTGCTTTTATGCTGTAAGAGCAGAGTTGAGTGGTTTCAAAGCTATTTTCAATATTTACTGTCTGGCCTTTTACTGAATATAAAGTATAAAACCTCGTAGATTATAGGTGCTTAGTATTTCTTTAACCCTCGACCCTGACTCTTCATCCCATCTCTGCCAAGGACTTGCTGTGTGTTCTCAGGTAAGTCTCTTACTGTCTCCTTGAGAGTTTGAATCATAATCACCTGGGATTTTTTTTTTTTTTTTTTTTTTTTTTTTATGTTTTAGCTACACTCCAGAGCTATTGACTCAGTAGATCCTTTTACTTTGAGACAGAGTCTTGCTCTGTAACCCAGGCTGGAGTGGAATGGAACAATCTTGGCTCACTGCAACCTCCGCCTCATGGGTTCAAGTGATTCTCCTGTCTCAGCTTCCTGAGTAGCTGGGACTACAGGTGTGCACCTGGAATCTGAATTTTTCAAAGTCCTAGAGATTCTGATCCCTTGTGAGTCTGCAAGTTGGCTGAAATACCAAAGAGGCAATAGGGCATGGAGCAGAAGAATCTAAAGGAACAGCCGCTATTCAGCTTTAACCAGTTGTTACCACATGGTGTATAGGCCTGGGGTTGCCAGATCTATTGCTGTTTAAAGAGAAGCCAAGAGTTTCTGTGAACTCTTTCATGTTTTAAATATGGCCAGCTAAAATACAGCTGCAGGCTATATTTGCCCTAGATTACTAGCCTATGACCTCTACCTAAATGATGTCTGAGATCCATCCCAGCTATTACCATCTAAAATTTAGTTCATTTAACAGACATCTAAATGATGCTTATTGCTTTACATGCTCTGCACAGACTAACTCATTTAACCCTCCTCACACCCTTATTACAACCCATTCTACAGATGTTGAAACTGAGAACACAGAAGTGCGAAAAGTGTCATGGATCCAGCAGAGCTTTGCTTCTAACCACAGGATATGCCTGTAGGTTCCCCCCACCCCAGCACTTGCTGATTTGGTTTTTCTTTTTTTAATCCCATGAGTACAGCAGACAGCCCGGCCTACCTTCTTTGCCCGCAAGTTCGAAGCCGTAGTGAATCAGGAAATCATTGGGCAGCTGGACTATTACCTGTACGGGAACTACCCTGCAGGTACCCCGGGCCTCCGCTCCTACTGGGAGAATGTCTATGACGAGCCTGATGGCATCCACAGCCTGAGCGACGTGACACTCACCTTGTACCACTCCTTTGCCCGCCTGGGTCTTCGACGGGCCGAGACATCCCTGCACACGGATGGGGAGAACAGCTGCCGGTGAGTCCTATATGGGATGCAGGGAGAGGAGCTGAGAAGCAGGAGGAGGCTCAGGGTGCAGAGGGGGGCCCTTTCTCCTCTTTAGGGATCTGCAGTGCAATGCCACCCTACGCTTTCTCTCTTCCTTTGCCCAAAATTCATCTAATGCCACCCTCCTAGCGTGCATGGCATTTCCAATCCAAGCCATTGCGACACTTTGTGCTTTACTTTCTCAGATACCAGATATCCTATGTACCCAATGATTTTACTCATTCTTCATGCTACATATATATACTGTACAAGGAAGCTTTATGTCACCATACCATATGAAGCATTTGTGTTAAGCGGAAGGTAGCCACGAATATACAAAACTTTTTTTGATGGAAAATGTCAAAGATGTACAACATAGAACAGTGGAACCCCATGTTCCCATCACCCAGCCCCGACAATTTCCAACTCAGGGCTGATCTTGTTTCATCTGTTTCATTTTCATCTTCACCCACCTTCCGCCTCCTCCCAGATCAGTTTGAAGTCAATCCCAGACATCCTATCATTTCAGCCATCAATATTTTAATAATGTATCTCTGAAAAATAACTCTTTGAAACACATTCACCATAATGTCATCACACCTAAAAATATCACAAAGAAAATTAATAGGCAGAACTATTGTTGAAACTTCTCAGCCACCCCTTACAATCGTCTCACCTACCACTACCTGCCGACACTTCAGGAAAGAGCATTCCAGAAGATGTGGAAAGAAGAGGGGAAGGTAGGAAAATAATTCAACATAATCCTGTCTTCTCCCATCTCTTTCCCTAAGCCAGCCAAGCCTTTCACATTGTGTACCCTTTTTTTGTTCTGAAGCAATATGCATTTTGGATATTTACATAATTGCACCAAGAATTGGGTATCCTGTTTTCTTCCCTTGGCATTATACTCTTAGCCCCCATTTCTCCACGCTGCTCTGTAGCTTCCGCAACGATAATGACTCTTTTTAATGCCTCTAGTATTCCACTGAGCAGAAGTTCTAGAGTTTGCTTAATCCGGCCCTTCACTGTTGCCATTGTCAGTAATGTGCCACTGTAAACAATGTTCTGATGAATATCTTTTCACAGAAAGCCCTTTTTTCCCCATTCTCTTTTCTGATTATTTCCTTAGAAGCACCTCTAATCACTCTCCTTCTTTTTTGTGTTCGTTTAACAACCTAGCATCTTCAGTCTCTGACGGGGCTCGGGGGAAAAAGATTGTTCACTGACTGTCTGAAAACACAGGCAGGTTTCCCACCTGGTGTCTCGTCCCTGGCTAGCAAGTTTTCTGCAGGACTGTGACACTGTCCCATCACCTTCTCCCATCCCTCGGCTTCTCTCCGTAAAGTTTCTGATTTAGTTTAAAGGGAGACTAGTGTTGGTTAGGAGTCTAGGACCTGCAGTTTAAACTCTGATTACAAGCTATTGGCCTTGGGCATTCATCTCTCTGAGCTTCGGTTTCCTCATCTGTGAAATGAGTAGTACCCATCATCTTTGTATCATAAGGTGTTGTGAAGTTTAAAGGAGATAATCATCAAAAACCACCTAATGAGTTAACAGTGTTAATCCTTTATATTTGAGACAGTCTTGCTCTGTCACCCTAGCTGGAGTGCACTGTCACCCTAGCTGGAGTGCAGTGGTGCGATCTCGGCTCACTGCAACCTCCACCTCCCAGGTTCAAGCAATTCTGCCTCAGCCTCCCAAGTAGCTGAGGCTATAGGCACATGCCACAACACCCGGCTAATTTTTGTAGTTTTAGTAGAGACAGGACTTCACCAGGTTGGCCAGGCTGGTCTCGAACTCCTGACCTCAGGTGATCCACCCACATTGGCCTCCCTAACTGCTCAGGGTTCAGGTCATTGCTGGTATCTTAGTTGCCAGTTGCCATTACAGTGCAGCCAACAGTGAACCTACTGTGTGTGACGGGAACAACTCCTCCTTCTCCCCCTGTGCTTTTCTTTGCTCACTGCCTCTCACTGCACAGTCAATCTTTATGACACTTATTAAAAGAGCTCACCCCACACCTACCATCTCCCAAGCTGAAAGTGGTTCAGGGACTTCACCTTCATGTGCGGTATCTTGGCGGGAGTCTCTCTCCCCGCTGCTAGTCTGGAAGCAGAATCCCTGCATGTATCCCCAGTACACAGTGCAGCGCCCAACACTTGGAAGGCAAATGTCGTTCCATAATAATTACAGTCGCAGGCTTCCTACAATGTATAAGGTAAATGATCTTACAGGAAATTCCAAAAGACACCCCCAATTTATCTAGGGTTGTTGAAAGTTTGGAATGAAGTGAGCTGTCACGTTGCCTCCAGCCAGGAATCCTCTGGCATCCACCTCGTTTTTTATTGTAATGGAACTGTTGTGCCTTGCTGTGGGCAAAGCCGATGTATTTATGAATAGGAGCCTGAAAATAAATCAGGACAAAAGACCCTTATCCCAAAAGGCAGAAGGCAATGGATTCCTAGCCCTGTAGCCCTGGGGCATGTGGGAAAACGGCAAGTGGAAACTTTGCTTCATTTTATCTGGATATTTGAGGCAAATTGTGCCTTTCCAGTCCATAATATAACCTTTCATTAAATCATGTTTATTGATTTTTTTTTCTCATTATCAAGTAACGCATGTGCATTGCAGAAATTTCTGAAATGGCAGATTGAGAGAATAAGAAAATAAAGTTTGCTTGTCATCCACCATCCAGAAATAAGGATGTCAGCATTTTTATTACAGGTCCCCGAATGCCCTCCAGGGCCAGGCACGAAGCACCAGAATCTTAACTTCGTGTGACCCCTGCAGGGTGGGCTGACCGTGGGAACCTGGAAGTCTGTGGTGCTGAACCCCAGTACATTCCATGGGAATGCAGACTAGGAGTTGCCAGCCAAATCTCCTGATTTTTTTTCAGTGCTCATCATATTTAAATAAGAAAGAAAAACACCTTTGGGCCAGATGAAGACTTCAGTTGCCTTCCTGTAGATGACTGTATGACATCTTGATTATTTTTCTGTTTTGAGACATGAACGGTTGTCATTACTTAGATACCAAATACAGTCAGGATGAGGCATCAGAGGGCTTTGTGTTCACTCCTTGGTTACAGGGACTGTAGATGTAACTGTAGATGTAACTTAGAAGCATGAGGTTCACGACAAAATCCTTCTAGAATTTTCACTCCTTCAATAAGTACTGATTGAGCAGCTCCTGTGTGTCAGGCTATGTGTTAGGCACGGAGAATTCAGCCTTGATCCAGGCTGACCAGGCCCGTGAACTCAAAGCCCTCCCACTCTACTGCAAAGAGAGACAGTACCTAAGCACAGGTAAACCAGAACATAAGATCAATAAGGGGAAATGCTCTGCAAAAAAATGAAGATAAAGTCATGTGAGAGTGACAAGTCAGAGGCAGCAGTGAGCTTAGCTTGTTCAAGAATCCAAAATAAAGTCCCAGTGGCCAGAAGGTGGTAGATTAGGGTAGCTGGAAACAAAAGGAGGCTAGAGAAAGTGGCAGGACTTTGTGGACCAGGTAAGGAGTTTGGATTTTATTGCAAGCACGAATCAAGGTGCTTGTGGCATTTAAGTGGGGGACAATGGATGTGGCTACTATAGGAACAGGTTATAGTGGGCAAAAGAAAGAGGGGGTGACAGTTAAGGAAGCTGCTGCAGAGGCGCAGGTACAAAATGATGGTGGCTTGGACCAGGATTCTGGCAGTGTATAAGGAGAATAGAGGGATGGAAGGGGCCAGGTGTGATGGCTCACACCTATAATCCCAGCTATGCAGGAGGCTGAGTCAGGGAGAATTGCTTGAACCCGGGAGGCAGAGGTTGCAATGAGTCGATTTCATGACACTGCACTCTAGCCGGGGTGACAGAGTGAGACTCCATCTCAAAAAATGAAAAGAAAGTGAAGGGAGGCAAGTAATCAAAGATTGACTTCTACATTTTTTTTGACTGCTGCTTTCTGGAAACACTTTCTTTCTTTGACTCCAAAGACAGCAAGTTCTCCTGCTTCACCCACTTCACAGAACACACACTGGCAGTGCTTTACGTGTCTACTGTCATGATAACACTGTGTAACAAACAACTCCCAAATCAGTGTTTTGAAACAATACGCATTTATGTAACGCTCAAGTTTGCAGATCAGCTGGACAGTTTTCCCAGTCTGGGCTGGCCTTGCTCCTGTATCTGCAGCCAACTGCAAGTCGGGAAGTGGCTCTGTGGTCCTTGGCTGGGAATAGTTGCCTGAGCCTAGGATGGCTTCAGCTGGGACAACTAGGGTAGCTCTGCTGTTTCAAATGTCTCCTCCTCCAGCAAGCTAGCCCAGGCATGCTCTCATGGTGACCTCAAGAGAACAAGAAGGCAAACAGACATGTGCAAGGCATCTTGAGGCCCTGGCTCAGAACTGACAGGACAGCCCTTCTACCACTGTCTGTTGTCCAAAGAAGATTCCAGAGGTAGAAAAAACTAGGTTCTGCCTCCCAGGTACAAGGAAACTTGCAAAGTCACATGGAAGAGAGCATAAGATACAGGAGATGGGAGATTTGGGGACATGAATGCGGGCGACCACTGGCTCTTTCATGACTGTATCTTTGCTGTCCAATACAGTAGCCACAGGTGGCTATTTCAGTGTAAATTAACTAAAACTAAATACAATTTAAAATTCAGTTCCTCAGTCACACTGGCCATATTTCAAGTGCTCAGCAGTAGCACGCTGCTAGTGGCTTGGGAGATGGGGGCCCCAAAATCTCATAAATCATCACTAAAGAACTTATGGAACCAAATACCACCTGTTCCCACCAAATCCCATGGAAATAAAAAGCTTTTGGCCTGGTGCGGTGGCTGACACCCGTAATCCCAGCACTTTGGGAGGCCGAGGCGGGCGCATCACTTGAGGTCAGGAGTTTGAGACCAGTCTGGCCAACATGGTGAAACCCTCCTCTCTACAAAAATATAAAAAATCACCGGGCATGGTGGCCGATGCCTGTAATCCCAGCTACTCGGGAGGCTGAGTCGGGAGAATCGCTTGAACCCAGGAGGCAGAGGTTGCAGTGAGCCAAGATCACACCACTGCACTCCAGCCTGGGTGACAGAGGGAGACTCTGTCTCAAAAATAAATAAAACATTTCTGTCATCATAGGAGGTTTTCTGTGACAGCCCTGCCTAGATTTTGCTGCAGTGGTGGAATGACAGCACAATCCCTGGACTGTCCACTCCCAAAGTCCAGATTTAAAACAGGTTTGCATGAACTGTGAATGCCCAGCAAACAATCTGAGGACTGTTCAAGTTTCGGTTTTTTTTCCATGCCCCCTGGAAGGCAACCCAGTAACAAGGCAATGATTTCAGGAGATGTGTGAACACAAGAAGGCAGCTTCCCTAACTGTTATAATTGGACATAAAGACTTAAAACTCCAGATCAGGACCAGAGGGAAGGCTGCGTTTAGCTGAGCAGGGACAATGATTTGTGAAATGCTGTTATGAAGGACCCACAAGCACCTTCTTAGTGCTGTGCAATTTACACATTGCAGAAGCGGCAGCTTTTTATCTGACAAGTAGGAAAGATACCAAGCGGGGCTCCTCCAACGTTCTCCTCTTTTGCTCTCTGCTTCCCCCTTTTCTCTGGACATTGCTGCTTCGCTACCCTGTCCCTTTCAGCCAGCAAGCTTTTGTGGATCAAAGACATGCATTTTAAAACAACAAGCCACTTTTGCATGTGTGTTTATCTCAGATTGATGATAACCAGTGTGAGTGGTAAGGACTGTGGGAGAATAAATCAGTACTTCCGAAACAGTTAAGCTGCAGACACGAAGAGCCTCAGAGATTTAAACAGAGGCGAGACAAATGAAAGGTTTTGCTCAAAGATGTTGAATGCAGCACTGTTTAGAGAAGCAAAAAATTAGAGTTATCATCCAATGATAGGGAACTTGCTTTATAAAATCTGGTATTACCGACGATGAAACACCGAGCATCAACACATACAAAACCATGTCTTCAGAGACTTTTCAAAGATGTGATAATCCTCAGGAAATATTATACAAAGAAAACAGAATAATAGCTAGGATAGATAGATGCCAACTATGTAGTATTTATGCAAATAGATGCATAGGAAATAAGGCCAAAGGGAAATCCATCAACATGACAGCAGTGTTCACACCCCATTTTCACTGCCCAGTACCAAGCACCAGAGGACTCAGTATCTGTGAATTGACATTATGTATGGGAAGAGGCATGGAAAGTAGTCATTTTACTTTCTTTGTTGTATTTTCCTACAGTCAGCATGGTTTTCATTTATAATCAGCCAAAGAAAAAAGTATTCCTAGTCACTGAGATCGTAGATACATAGGGAACAGCTTTCAGTCAGATGCAAGGAAAATGGTAGGCATTGTACACAATGGGGACTGCTTTAGGAACAAAACTAGCTTGGTGGGTGGGGAGCCCCACTGTGATCCTACACACCTTGGGCCCTAACCCATGAGCGCCTGTGTTTTCAGGTACTACCCAATGGGCCACCCAGCATCTGTCCACCTCTACTTCCTTGCCGACCGTTTCCAGGGCTTTCTGATCAAGCACCATGCTACCAATCTGGCCGTGAGCAAACTGGAGACTCTGGAGACCTGGGTGATGCCAAAAAAAGTCTTCAAGATCGCAAGCCCACCCAGCGACTTTGGGAGGCTTCAGTTTTCCGAGGTAAGAGGCCAGGTCTTGTCACATTTCATCGTATTTTGCAGTTCCCTTGGCCAGATTCTACTCTACTATCTGACACTTCTAGTTGGAGATGGAGGAGAAGAGGACTTGGAGAGCCCTAAAGATAAGCTAACCCCGTGCCCGGAGAAGGCTCTCCGGCCCCAGTCACCGGCACCAGCATCTTAAACAGGGAAAGATGAAACCAACTGGAACACGGATGTATTTTTTAGGGTAGAATTTCTGCCCCTCTGAATTTTTTATCCTAGCCAGTGATGACTCCAATGTCAGTAATATTAGTCGCATTTTCCAGAATGGAGAACTGAGGCTGATAGAGATCCAAAGATTTTCTAGATTGCTAGGAAGTGGGAGAGCTCAAAATTCAACCTAGGTCTCTTTGGCCACAAATCCTATGCTGAGTTGTGGTTTTGTCTCCCCAGTTTTTAGACCCATGGATTCACTCAAGGGAAGTACCAGATCAATCATTGACTATATGATTAGATGAGTAGATGGATGATGGATTGAAGGAAGGATGGATGGACAGATGGGTCACATAGCTAGCTTTTTTTTTTTTTATCATTCTGATCTAAATCCAAATGATATACCTTCAGAGAAGCCTTCCCCGGCCACCCACTTAAGCTGCTGCAATAACTACATTCTCCACCCAACCCTTCTCTGTTTTAATACTTTTTCGTAGCATTTACTATCTAAAACTATCTTGTTGCTTTATCTGGTCACTCACTGATTGTTCACAGGAGAGTTGGAACTGTGTCTCCCTCTTCACTGCAGTATCTCCAGCACACAGAGAGTACATAGTGTTTGTAGATGTTGAGTAAGACTTCGGAATGAGTATGTGAGTGTATCTGGGTCATGGTGCAGGAAGGAAGGGGAAGCATGATGAAGCCTGGTGCGTGTTGTTCACACAGAACTGCAGCACCTGGTTTCTGCCTTTCTCACATCTGTAAGGGCTAAGGAGGTAATTTGTCTCAATGGTTCTGACTGCTGGATTAGGGACCAAGAGTCTGATCGTAGACTATGGTACATCTTGAGCGGCTAAGAGTATGTTGGGGAGAGGGGAAGTCCCACCTGCGTGTATTTTCCTTGACAGTCCTCCTCTAGCTTCTGTGGCCCTGCCTAACCTGTTCTCCAGCAAATGTATGTATCCCCATGAAAAACAGGCACCAGTGAGCGTTTCTTGTTGAGCCACTGTTTTCAATTAAGACTCCTAGTGGATTTGCTGGATGTGAGCTGCCAAGGGAGCCCACTCCATAAATTACTGGTGTCAGGGGGCAATTAGATACTGCCCCAGTTGGATTCTGTGCTAGGGGCCTGAGCAGCCAATTGACAACATTAATGTCCCATTAAAGAGATGAATGCCTGGTGTCTGGGCTCTCCCTGCTTATCAGCCTGCTGTTGGGCAACTGGGTACTTCTGGCAGTGACAAATGATGTTGGCCCCCCCATGGCTAGTGCTTTCGGGGAGGGTCCTCGCTACACAGGTCTGGTACCCTTGGTGTGAGAACCATCAAAATCACTGGCAAAAATAACAGCATGTGATGCCGAGAGCCCTCACTTGTATTTTGAATTTTTTCTAAAGTCTTAATTTTAATGGCAAATGAACAGAAAGGGAAGGAAGAACCACAGGGCCACTCTGTAGCCTATTTAGGATCTCCTTGGAGTTAGCACCATCCCAGGGCCTTGCATAGTGCCTGACTCACTATGTTCAGCAGGTGGCTAAACAGCTCAGATACATTTCTCCAATCCATGGGAATCTCATGCTATTGACTCGGAAAAAAAAGATGCTCATTGTTTCTGCAGGTAGTCACCGAGTGCCTACAATGTGCCAGGTTCAGGAGGGACCATGGTGAACCAGACAAACCAGGCCCCTGTGGTCATGGAATTGCAGTCCAGTGGGGCAGCCAGCCAATGAGTGAGCAAACAGATAAACAAAAACAGCTCAGCTAATGACAGGTATTCTAGAGAAAACTTCATTCATGTGATTCCTGGGGACTCAGGACCTTGATGGGGACAGCCTTCGATAGAATGATTTATCTAGGAAGGCTTTTCTAAGGAGATCACTGCAGAGCTAAAGCCTGTAAAAGAACCAGTCCTGGGGAGATCTGGAGCAGAGAGAAGAGCATATGCAAAGGCCCTGAGGCACTGGGAATGAGCTAGGAGTACTCGAGTTGCAGTGAGACCAATGCACTGAGTGCAGCAAGTGAGAAGGAAACTGCTAGGAAAGAGGCCTTAGGGAGTAGTCTTGCAGGCCCTGGAACGATGTTCAGGTTCTATTTTAAATGCAATGGAAAGATAGAGGGAAAATGGCAGATAGGAGGCAGGACGAACTTGCAGCTCCCACTCGGATGGACAGAGCAGTGTGTGGAGCCCCACATCATGACCTTTTGCTCCCAGAAGTACTGCAGAAACATACCAGGAAAGACAAGAGAATCCATAGAGCCTTTAAGGGAGGTGGATTGCCCTGCAGGCTCCGTGGGACAGCCAAGGAACTGTGAATCCCCAGAAGATCACACTAGCTCACCAGCAATGGATTCAAATCAAGAAGAAATCTCTGAATTACCAGAAAAAATTAAGAAGTTCGACTATTAAGCCAATTAAGGAGGCACCAGAGAAAGGTGAAGTCCAACCTAAAGAAGTTTTTTTAAAAATGATACAGGATGTGAATGGAAAAATCTCACGTGAAATATAACCTAAATAGAAAACAGTCACAACTTCTGAAAATGAAGGACACACTTAGACAATTGCAAAATGCACTGGAAAATCTCAGCAATCAAATCACATGAGTAAAAGAAAGAACTTCAGAACTTGAAGACAAGGCTTTCAAATTAACTCACTCCAACAAAGACAACAAAGAATTTTTTAAAATGAGCAAAGCCTTCAAGAAGTTTGGAAGTATGTTAAATAACCAAACTTAAGAATAATTGCTGTTCCTGAGGAAGAAGAGAAATCTAAAAGTTTGAATAATGAGAGAATAATTGAGGAAAACTTCCCCAGCCTTGCCAGAGATCTAGACATCTAAATAAAAGAAGTGCAGGCCGGGCGCGGTGGCTCACGCCTGTAATCCCAGCACTTTGGGAGGCCGAGGCGGGCGGATCACAAGGTCAGGAGATCGAGACCATGGTGAAACCTCGTCTCTTCTAAAAAAATAGAAAAAATTAGCCGGGCGCAGTGGCGGGCGCCTGTAGTCCCAGCTACTCGGGAGGCTGAGGCAGGAGAATGGCGTGAACCCGGGAGGCGGAGCTTGCAGTGAGCCGAGATTGCGCCACTGCACTCCAGCCTGGGCGACAGAGCGAGACTCCGTCAAAAAAAAAAAAAAAAAAAAAAAAAGTGCAAAGAACACCTGGGAAATTCATTGCAAAAAGATCATGCCTAGGCACATAGTCATCAAGTAATCTAAAGTCAAGACAAAGGAAATAATCTTAAGACGCAAAAGCATCAGGTAACCTATAAAGGAAAACCCATCAGATTAACAGCAGAAACCCTACAAGCTAGAAGGGTCCTATCTTTAGCCTCAACAATTACCAGCCAAGCATCGTGTATCCAGCGAAACTGAGCTTCATAAATGAAAGATACAGTTTTTTCAGATAAATGCTAAGATAATTCACCACTACCAAGCCAGCACGACAAGAACTGCTAAAAGGAGTTGTAGATCTTGAAGCAAATAAACCAAAATAGAATCTCTTTAAAGCATAAATCTCACAGGTCCTGCAAAACAACACAATGAAACAAACCAAGGTATTCAGGCAACAAATAGCATGATGAATAGAATAGTACCTCACATCTCAATACTACTGTGGAATGCAAATGGCCTAAAAGCTTCACTTAAAGATGCAGAATCGATAAGAATTCACCAACCAGGTGTCTGCTGTTCAAGAGACTTGCCTGGCACATAAGAACTCACATGAACTTATGGTAAAAAGGTGAAAAAAGATACTCCATGCAAATGGACACCAAAAGTGAGCAGGAGTAGCTATTCTTATCAGACAAAACAAAACTTTAAAGCAACAGCAATTAAAAAAGACAAAGAGGGACATTACATAATGATAAAAGGACTAGTCCAACAGGAAAATACCACAATCCTAAATATATATGCACTAACACTGGGGCTCCCAAAACAATTACTACCAGACCTAAGAAATGAGATGGACAGCAACACAGTAATATTGACACACTTCATCAAGACAAAGTCAATAAACAAACAATGGACTTACACTATACTCTACAACAAATGGACTTAACAGATACTTATAGAACGTTTTACCCAATGACTGCAGAATTGGATAAAACAATTCTATTATACATGCTATTCATCAGCACATGGAACATTCTCCAAGATAGGCCATATGATAGGCCACAAAACAAGACTCAACAATTTTAAGAAAATCAAAATTACAGTGAGTACTCTCTCAGACCACAGTGGAATAAAATTAGAAATTAACTCCAAAAGGAACCCCCAAAGTCATGCAAAAACATGGAAACTAAATAACGTGCTCCCGAATTCAGTGCTTCTGGGATACAGCAAAGCCAGTGCTTAGTGCAGAGTTCATAACATTAAATGCCCACAGCAAAAAGTCAGAAAGAGCCCAGACAATCTAATATCACACTTTAATGAGCTAGAGAAACAAGAACAAACCCAAATCCACCAAGGAGAGGTAAAAGACCTCTACAAGGAAAACTGCAAAACACTGCTGCAAGAAATCATAGATAACACAAACAAATGGAAATACATCCCATGCTCTTGGATGGGTAGAATCAATATTGTGACCATGACCATACCGCCAAAAGCAATCTACAAATTCAGTGTAATTCCCATCAAAATACCACCATCATTCTTCACAGAACTAGAAAAAAAAAATCCTAAAACTCATATGGAACTAAAAAAGAGCCTGCAGAGCCAAAGCAAGACTAAGCAAAAAGAACAAATCTGGAGGCATTACATTACCCAACCTTAAAGCATACTATAAGGCCATAGTCACCAGAACAGCATGG